CATTAAGAGAAGCTGTTTAAGCTATTCTTTTGTACTGCATGTGGGATTTTTGCCAGGCCCCATCTTTTTGCTTTATGATGTGCAGAAACCAGGCAATAACGTCAAATAAAGGCACTGTCATCAGTTTCAGTCCCTGCCTTCTCTCCGCTCGGCTCTGCTCGACGTCTGTGTGATGCACACACATCAGGGACCTTCAGATGAAATGTGGAAAGGTGGCACCTTCTCGCAAGGTTGTGCCAAATTTGAACATGCTCAGTTTATGTCTTAAATTAGCTGCATGCAACTGATGCGAATGAGGGCATGGAATTGGAAATTTGGCTTTATTGATAGTCAAATGATCATGAGTATGCTTGTCTGGGGCTAATACATAACATGTATTTCAAAGGTTTAGTTTGGTTGGCAATACATTTGATTTTTCATCTGTCATATAAACATGTAGAATGCGTGTAGGCAGGCAGTTACCGCATAATAACCATAATACACATTTTAAGAGGTTTCTCTTGTACCAACAAAATAACACTGACCAGCCAGGGTGCAAAAGAAGTGACATCTGTGGGTGTTTTGGAGTGTTTTTTACTTTTGCATTTTCAATAGATGCTTTCGCCAATATGGGTTGTGTAGTTTACTTGGATTCAGCTTTCTTTCTGTATCTGCTATCTGGCTGAAAATCTCAGTCTCTGTGTTTGTCTTCTTTAAAGCTTTGCTAAGCTGTCTACTTTTGTCATGTGGTGACACGAATGGTCTGTTGAAACATTAGAATAAGTGTTGAATGTCAGGATGCAATTTTAAAGATTGGTGTTGTATTGTAACAAGATTAGCACCATAACAAGATGAGATGTAGGGTTTTATCATAACCATCGCTTTGTTAGAGCTCAACATTAATACTCGATCATGAAACCTATATCCCTGCAGTACATAAACAGCTGTCCCTGCTTTTGTTAGAGTTTTAAAAAAAACCTGTTCGGCTCATGTTTTGCCTTTGACAAGATTGTTACATAACCTGTTGTGTAATAAAACAAGACAGAAAATCTCATCCACTTTAAGGAACCGCTGATGCAGTTTCAGGTTAAGCGAGCTTCGGTTTTCTCTCAGTGCACCATGGCTTGTGACTGTTGTAAACATGTGACTCTTTTACACTCTGTCACAGGTACGCTGCTTTTAAGGAGTCAAAAAACAGTCAAGGCCCTTCAGTGTCATCCTTTGTTCTTCTATTCAAGACGAAGTAATAAAAGACGACCAGGCAACATCTATGCTGCTGCCCTATAGGCTCTGAAAGCCTTCATTCTCTTAGCTGCTTTAATGATTGTGATCCCACAAGAATGCATGGGAATAGCATTAAAAAATATGCACATCAGGCTGCCAGCATCAGCTCTGAACAAAGCCCAAAGCTTCAAGGCTCTGGCTGACTGACAGGAGCCTTCACAGAGATGAACTATCAATTCAAAGTGTCAGGGAAGACTTCAGGACTCAGGAACTATTTAAACCCTCCTGTTGTTGTTGGGTGCATTTAGGCTGTTCCAAAAGCGAACATAGTCAAAATAATGAATAGGTCCTGTTGCTTTCAATAGAATAAAATGAAGCATAAATGCAGGAAAATATGGTCTGTAATACCAAACATTTAAAAAATGTTTGCAAAACTGTCAGTTCAACCTGGTTTGACATCAAGTGTGAATATTTGCTGGCATAAAAAAATGCTGACATTTTTTTCCTGACTAAACTTTGACATGTATGAGTCTGTTTTTTCCGGGCCTCTGATAAGAATAAATTCCTGCTTTTTTCCCTCAAAAATAAGGTTTAACCTCAAATGAATAAGGTCTATATTTACATATACCCAAAAAACTGTGTCACTGAAGTAGGAACCACGTACAGTAAAAAGGGGAAACAAACCTCACATGCGGCTCCTCTTGGCAGGGGAAGACGTCTCCATACATTAGGATATTCTTATTCTGCTTCACGGCGTTGCCTTTAGGTCACTGTGATCCCGCGAAAACATGGGCACTGTAAAAACCTTCCCGAGCGAAAAACCAATTACTGCAGTTACATGTCTCTTCCCAGAAAAGCATTAGGGTAACAGCGTGGGCTGAGTATCTGACACATAATACCCAAAAATGTTGCACGGGCACATGCAGCCTTCAAAGCCTCTGAACTCAATGAGGTGAGAGCGAAAAGTAACCATTTGGCTTTATTTTTCTCTTCTCACCGAATCAAAAGTTATTGCTCTGTTGGAACTGTAGTCTGAAACAGCGCAAGATAGAAGAAAGCCTACTTGGGTATTATGTTGCCAAAAAAAAAAAGACTAAATAGATTAAATTGACTTCCCTGTCATAGCTACTCAGATATAGAAGGACTCATGACGGGAGTATTGAAAATTGGATTTGTATGATCAATTTCGGTGGCACACAAAATTGAATTCTTCTTTAGGATCTGAAGCTGTCTCTTGGTATAAGCGGGTACGTTTGCAAAAATCTCAGAGCACCACTTTACCCATAAGAGCCCAAAACCAGAGGAATCATAGGGAATAGAAACCTGACTAAATAAAGCCCATTTATCACCATAAGAAATTTTCAGGTACCACCACAAAATGTGAAAGATCTGTGATTTCCAGAAGTTTCATTGGGCCATTTTCAATAACTATATTTTAGTTGAAATAGCTTGTTAGACCTGTATAACTGCAGGTTTCTAATGGGTTAAAGATCAAATTTGCTGGGCATCTGTGAACAGAATACACGGCTGATGTGTTTGACGCAGACTGTGTGGTCTCCATACTCAAAGGCAAACATGCTGCTTTGTATTCTGCTCAGGCTTCTGCGCTGATGGTTAGAAATGCTGAAAAGGTCCTGATGATGGAGTTAATTTTCCCTTCTTCACTCCACTACCCAGACATCAGTTGAGAATGTTTAGAATGCAAGTGCTCCGCCATGTGCAGCTAAACAGAGCACAAAATCAAACCAATCATGACAATTTAAGGATACCGCTGACCACATGTGAGGGACCACTTCTCATTAGAGTCCTATAAGCAGACAGGACTGTGCTGCTTTGGCCACAGGGTGGATCGTGGGCATTTGGAGTTGTGGGCAGACGGATTTGTTAATGGGAACAGCCAGGAGCACGGGTTGATGACAGCACTCCTAGCTGTCATCAGTCATGCTCATCAGAATGGGTCGCTGCCCATTAGTCGGCGATAAGTTTAAACTATGGTGTGTTCACATGGAGGCGGCAGAGCTGTGAGGATGATTAGGTCACATAGTGACACGATGAAGGCGTGTGAGCAAATGCGAGTTCATTTTAAATACGCAGGAGTGGGAGCACTGATCTCTTCCCTAATAGCACGGCAGCCTTAGTACGGAACAGTTAGTCTGGTACAGAGTGATTTAACTTAGAAAGTTTGACAGACACTAATAGTCCCAGAATTCCCTGGAAGACTGGATGCCCTTTTTGGGTGAGCGGCACTCTACACATACACTAAAGCTGGTGAGACATTTGCCAGAATCACTTTGAGAATGCTGCCATGATACAGCGACTTTTTAGAGCCGCGTCAGTACTGGAGGCCATACAGGTTAATTATCCTCGGTTTTCCCTCTGAATGACATGGAAACCCGACCAGAGATGAGAGTTGAAGCTGACCCTCACTGGTTCCGCTGCCAAACATTCCCGGCATATCCTCACCAAGCGTATCTTGGTTTCTGATCCAACTCTCGACCTAGCCCAGGCCTATGATGCCAAACACTGAACAAACACAAAAGAACAATTTCAGAACACCACAGGGAAAGCAGCTCATCCATGTCACACCCCTCCACGTTTCACAGATGTCACCCCAAAACTATGTCAAAATCCCTAGCAGCGCATCTAGTATCATCCAGAAACTCAAAGGTCAGACCCATTCCTTTTATCTTCCTACATAACCCAGAATTCCTCTGCCTGCTTTGAAGTCATCAGACCATCCAATCCTCAGCCAGACAAGGGTGCTGCAAGTATGGCCCCTGTGGAACTCTGCGAACGAAGATAGACCCACCTCTTTTGGTACCACCTATTGGGAAGGGAAAACTACCTTTGCTTGATCTTTAAAAGAGAATGAAACATAAACTCTGCCCCCTTGTGGTGAAGATGACTAAAAGCAGAAGTTACACAAACTTCAAAGTTTGCTGCTACTGGTGCCTGGAAATATGATAAACCCATTGTGATGGCTTGTGAGGAAGAGCAAAGCTGACATTTTCCCCTCTCCCAGGGGAACAAACCAAAGTGTTTGTTGTGTGGGATGTTTGCTCTTGAGATTATGCAGGTGTCTGATGATGATGACTCTTCCCACACAAGCACCCTGTGGCTCTATATCTGGTTCCTTCCTTTTGCGCAGTTGCCATCGACTAGGAATTTGTCATTAGCACCAAAAAAGAAAAAGTAGTTTAAGAAAATGAAAACTTTTACTGGTGAGTAATGGCCTCGGGGAAAGTTTAGATGGCCTCATAATGATGTACTGTAGACTTGTTTTAAGGGGGACGTTTGTCTGTTAAATGAGTCTGAGATATGGAGGGAGCTGTGCTCCAGCAGTGTGCCGTTTCTGCTCTTGAAGTGGTGATTTATCACTGCTCCACGGAAGCCGATGCACAGGATATTACACTTTGTTTTCAGTCGAGAAGCTATCCTGGAGGTGCAATCAATCCTCAGGCATAAGAAGAGTGTAACAAAAAAAAATATACACAGATACATTTTGTTTTCCAAATGTATTTCTCCATTTTTTTCCAGAAAAAAAAACAAAACAATTAAAAATCAGCACTTTAGACACAGGCTGATGAATTCAAGTGTAACAGTGATTCCAGCATTTGGGACAGATTCCTGACAATTTAAAAGCAAATATCAATAAAAATATCAAATAGAACATTTTCAGTCTCAAATGAAGTCTAAGACAACCTGATTGACATGGAAGGACAGCAGATGACAGACTACATTGATAGACACAGAATTCTTATATACAGATAACACCAGCCAGCTTTAACAGTACAGTGTAGACACAGTTCAGAGGGAAAAGGACCTGGCAATTCTCTTACATTGGAAACATAATTTTCTAGAGCTAAACACAGTTGTGACTTTTCCCCCAAAAGCAGAGTTACACAGGACTGACAAACTAAATGAATGTAACAAATGTAACATTGCAGCTCTGGTGGAGCGCAAATATTTAAAGGGGGAAAAAAAAAGTGATATGGCACACATGCATTCCCTTTAAAATGACTCTGGTTTTTTATGGGTTAAGCTCAGCTACTTCTTTGTAGTTGTGTAACAGAGTCACACGCTCAGTTCCAGTTAAAGGTTTGAACACGGGACTCTCTGAAAGAGATTTGGACACAGATTTGGTACTACACTTCCCACAGCCCTGATATGTTCGTAGATGGCAGGAAACTGTTTATCCAATTAAAAGGAACCAAAAAATTAAATAAAAAAAATCAGCTGCCTAATGTAGCCTAATCAAAGCAGATTAACTTTGAGAAAGAAACCAGAGCATCTTTGACACGGCACATGCCATCTGTGTTTGGATCATCCACACGACCATTACCACACGACCCATTAATACTTTTGAAAGGATGTTTGTTCAGTTGAGTTCTTCAACTTAATTCACACAGAAAAAGACAAAAAAAATGTAGTTTACACAAAAGACGACACATACATGTACCACTTTTTCATTTTAAGAAACATTAGTGTTAGTGGTTCCCTTATTTTCAAGTTTTTTTTTCTGTTAAGAAATATGTTATCTTAAAAGTTTTTTTTCATACATCTACATTATTAAAATCCAGCATTTTCATTTAGGTAGAAACCTAGGGGTGATGTCTAGCAGCCAAGAGCCCCCCCCCCCCCTTTTTTTTTTTAAAAGAAGGACATCTCTTGTAATTATTATTTTGTTAATCCATTAAAATTCTTTGAAAACTTTACCAGTACTACTATAACGGACTCTTTACTTGAAACAGTAAAGTACCGGTGAACTAGACTCCTCCCGTGACAGGTTTACACTTCGTCGTGTCAATGTGCCAGAGGAGGCAAATCATGCTCTAAAACTCCAGCTTCTTTGAAAAGGCTGGAAAGGTTTCTTGAGGTTAAAGATCATGAGCTGAGGTTTAACTCTCGGGGCTTTCTCTGGTATGACGGCAGCTTTGCTCTCCTCGGTGGGAAACCTGTTGTGGTAGACCTCAGGGTAGGACTTCTGGAACTGAAAGGATAAAAAAAAAAAAAAAGGCATCTTATTGAACAATGAAGCACAAACAGACCACCGACGGGGGCTTTTTTTGCTCCGTGCTGTTCAGTGGAGATTGTTCTGGTTAAGGCACTGCTGTGAATGTTACACATGATAACAGATATATTTCAGAATATCGCCGACAGCTTTGACCTGTTTGAGTCTTTTCCTCTTGTCCTTGGCGGGGAGTTCGTCATTTGCGATCAGGCCCTCCAGGAGCTGTTGCAAGGGGGTTTGTGTACCTATGGCCTTCTGCTCCTCACACTCCACCCTGCTGATCTGCTTAAAAAAAGCCGGGGATGCGCTGAAATCCGTGTCTGAACCTGCATATTTGATCTGGTGGAAGGAGAATGACATTTTCCATTAAAGAACACATCTATTAAGTATTTTAGATATTTCCATTGTGGATTTTTTTTTTTAAGTAGATGAACAAACTGGTTTTGTGAGCATGTACTGTATGCAGGGTGAAATGTCAAGACACTACTTCGTGTGTTAGTATATAAAAGAATAGCTCCTTCCTTTGTCCCTGTTCTATTCAGATTACTCTCTTTCATAGTATGGACTAGTATTCATGAACAAGTCTCCTTCTGCGTGCTGAGGATGGGCCAAGCCTCCGAATAGTTTTTCCCCTCAAACCATTTTCCACCTCAAATACAAATAAAATCTATGAAGATGATCAGGACAGAAGAAGCTGTTTTATAAATACGCGAATAACAGATTTTCATGCCATGATCACAATACAGACTGTTGGAGATCACATCAAACTGCTCTCCTTTTTCCCCAGCTGAATAAATTACCTAATCCATTTCCCCCCTGGCACCAAACTTAAAAGGGTTCGATGCACAACCTTGAGGAGAGACTGTAATGAAGTGGTTTTACCATTACAACACACATAGAGAGCTCCAAGGCCTAAAAATCTTGAGAAAAACCTTTGATACTATTATCCTCCTCTCTTTGAGGAACTTTAATCATTCAGTAATGACAAATATCCTAAATAATTAAATGCCCATACTCACCTGAATGGCCCATTTGGCTTACAGAACATTGAACTGATCAGAGGGAATGCCTTTTCTGGATTCTATAATGCTCGCTTTTAACATTTGGAGGGCTAATCCTCAAAGATGACAGAAGAATTCTCTGCCGCTCCCCCTGCAGGACGGGGGCACATTGTGGTAAAATGTGCTGACCTGAGCTCGTTTGAGGTGGGACAGATGCTCCTCGACCTGGCGCCGCAGTTTGCCGCTGATTTGGAAGATGGTGTTGTGGTGGTCCATCATAAAAGTCACCAGTTTGGTAGCGAGCAGCTCGTCCAAGTCAATGTCGTCCGCTGAGCCCAGAACACAGTGGGAGAACATCTGCACCATCTGGAAGAAAAGGCCAGTGGATGACTTTAGGGATACACACCAAGCACATTGTTAGAATTTAAATGCAAAACCTGGATTTGAAGGGGACTTGTCCCCTTTAAAATTACGCTTGTTGAGACAGTTTCCAGACCATGTTTTAAACGGTTCAAATTTGTGAAAGCTGGGTGAAAAAGAAAAAAACGTATCAAACAGTAAAATAACTCTGTTCTCTGTGGATATTCTGCTCTACTTGAACAAACCGGACCTGCTGCTGTGATATTCCCAACTTGAATGTTCTAACTCTTATCAGACCATGCTGTTTTGTGGGATGTCTGCTGAGCAACTCTGCTCCGTAAAACCGGAGAATCGGCGGGAGCGCGTGCGGTCAATAAGGCTGCGGGGGGGGGGGCGGGTTACCAGCGTGCGGGTGGCGATGGTGTCATTGAGCGGCGGCAGCAGGGGGTTGTGGCAGACGCGGGCCATCAGGCGCAGCAGCAGCTGCAGGCGCCGGCGGTTGGGCGGCGGCAGCAGGAGGCAGCTGACCCGCAGCGCCTCGGCGGCCGCGTCCTGCTCCGGCAGCAGACCTGCGATTGGAGGGAGAGGGGAGGATGAAGAAAACTTTGGCGGACGCACATCTGTGGCGGCAGGGGGGGGTGGGGGTTCCGCGGCGAGAGGCGCTCACTGAGGATGTTGACGAAGACATCGTACAGATGGAAAGTCAGCAGCGGCTCCTTGAGCCTCTGGAAGTAATCCGCCACCGTTTTTAGAACGTCTCTCTCGAAACCGGGGTACACTGGCTGTCGGGCTTCGTTGGCGTGAGGCCCTGGGAAAAAAAAGGGTCAAAGACAGGCTCAGAGCTCATCACAGAGACGGCGCTGCCAAGCATATGTGAAAAAAATGCTGATTTTTAGTATCTCAAAGCCAAGTTCACTCTTAAAGATTCACAGTGATGTCAGTTGGGATCAGAAGCCTTGGAGGGTTCACACCACATGAGGGATCTGCAGCAGGGGCCATAGGTTTTTTTGGGCCAAAACCTACCCCTCGGCTTGCTTTCCTCAAGGATCTGCGCCGTCATAAGCTTTACACCGTGGCACAAGCAGCTCCTGCCGAATTACCCCGCTTTGAACTGCTGCTGTTTTTTTCCAGAGCTTCTCTGCATTGGGTCCATCACTTTTTTCCCTCCCTCCCTCTCTCTCTTTTTAACATACTGTGGATTTCACAATATTGAAATACAGGTGCGAGCGTCAGCAGAAAGAGTGAACGAGGCTTTACTTTTTCCCTTCGGTTGCTTAACTCCATTGACGTTCACAGCATTGAAGCTGCTGCAGCAGTCCTAAAGCAGCAGCTTTTTTGTCTACAAAAAAATCGCAGTAAATGAATACTTACACTTTGCAAGGCATTTCATTGCTGACACCACCCAGTATGGCATGTCCTCTGCAGACATAAAAGAAAGGGAAAGCATCTTTTATTTTCTCTTACAGAGGCCATAAATCTTCACCTTGAGCCGTGTATCTGTGCACCTTACCGGCTTTGTTCTCCAACACGACTATGCCCGTTTTATTAACACTGAACACATTGTGTACGATGTGCTTCCCGTTCACGTGAGCCGGGTTTAGAACTCCATCCAGTGTCTTCAGGCCCAAAACTCTCTGTAAGCTGGAACAACAAAGCTGTGGTCACAGCAAAAGAAGATGACATAAAGAGTGTCGGGAAAAGCAAAACTCACTGTGCCACCGTCATCGACTTCCAGATGTGATCCACTTCTTTCGGAGTTACATCTTTCCTGCGTATTAGCTTGCATTCGTGAACATCTCCGATGGCCACGCTGTGTCTTTTATTCCACAAATCTGAAGTCTGATTTAGTCCAAGAAGAAAAAAGTCAATTTTCTAGCCTGTTGACTATACTATTTACTATATAAAACATTTTCATTTCTCAGTGCTCCCTTTAACCATTAGGGGCTAAACAAACTTATTCACATAAAGCTCATTAAAACACAGCGGAACACCACCCCCTTACCAGGACAGAAGACTTGAGCGGCGCAGATTTTTGCTGCTGAGGTAGTTCCTCGTAGTCATCCCAGCGGATGAGTCTGGGCAGGTCATCGTTGTTCTTCAGCAGAGGCCTCGTTGGAAGAGACTTGAGTGGAGACAGCGTGGGGAACCTGGAGAGAAAAGCAGCGGTACTTTGCTGAGAGAAGCAAACAGATGGAACAAAACACTATATTTAAAACATATATTTGACTTGAAAATCGGACTGTTTGGTTACCGGTACAAGCGGCCGTCGTCATCAAAGTCCTCCGTCCCGTGCCGTCCTTTGATGTCTTCAATGACGTGGGCCTTGAAGAACTTCCTGAGTAGCTGCAGGGTCTGGTGGCGCGTAACCTCAGGCCCAAAGTTGGAGTTGAGCCTCAGCAGTTCATGCAGGTAGTCCACAGCCTCCGATCCCGTGAAACTGCTGTCATAGCAGCGAAAGTGCGCCCAGTGCCTCCGTAACGGCATGCCTCCACGAAAAAGTTTAATGGTTTCATTCCACTGTGATAGAGAGGGAGTCAAAACATTAAAACGATTCTCAGGGATCTGACATTGACACAAATAAAACCAGCAAAACATCACACAATAGTTTGTTAGATATTTGCATTCCACCAGTTCAGCATCAGGAGATCACAAGAGTCTCATAGGCCTTACACCAGAAGTCCCACTAAGTCCAAATGGTGATACTCATAAAGAATATAAAGTCACAGAAGAAGAAAATGGGGTGTTACAAGGAAGATTAAGCTGTTGATTGGCGAGCAGAGCTCTATTTGCTTTCTCCTATTCCCGTTTCCTTGTAGAAAACAAATAACAGGATAAGCTAACTCCCCCCAATAAGTTCCAGTCTGTTTTGATCATTCAGAACTGCTGTTCTGATCACAACAAAGACACAAATCATATCAGCAGCACCGTACAATGTCCTCAGCAGACTGTGCCAGTGTGCACTTTGTTTTATTCGATATGTAATAAAAAAACAAAAACAAAGACACAATACATTTTTTTTTAAGTTTTCTGAGTGACATGGGATGTTTCTACTGAAAGTGGTTAAAATACGGTCCTGAATGCTCTCACTAAGATGACAGAAAGAAAACACTAAATATTGGTTTCCTTGGCCTGATTTGCTTCTTTCGCTCTGGAAAACTGCAGATTCCTCCTAAACAACAAAGTCTAATAGAAATTAATAAATAGCTCGATCTGTACCAATATACACCAACCAAATGTGTATCAAAGTAGAGAACTGATGATATTGGTAGGCATGGCTGTGTTGCAGAAGTAAAAAGGCAGATACTCTCAGAGCAATTATACCCTTTTTCCATGATAAACCAGTGCAATAGAGCAAAACTAGAATGTAACGTATGTAAATAAAAGCAAAAACCTTCAGGCAGGGTATGAAACAAAATATATTTTCCCCGTTTGAAAATCGGACTTATGTTTGATTTTTTAAAAATTGATTTATAACATTTAAAAATTAGAAAGACACAAATGAACGAAAGCAAAAACTACTGTTGGCAAGTAATTCACTCAAAACCACTCTGAACTTTTCCCCAAGTGAACAAAACTCCGCTTACGGTTGTAAATAGAGCCGTAGGATATAAAAACATTCATGAAACATGAAATACATTAGACTCGCACTGTCAATAAATCTAGTTTACGAGTTGAAGTTAGAGATTTTGGACGTATCGTTTCCGAAAATTCCACACGTACCAGCTTCGTCGCCCGGTATGGCCCGGGTCCGATAACTTTACCCTCCATTCTGACACCAAAAGCCCCTAAGGGAGCATGTGGAAAATAACTTTGCACGAAACTAATACAAAAGCTACGGCTGAGTGAGGAATAAATATCTGACAACAGAAACGTTGCTGCCAACTTTGAATCTCGTGCGTCACATCATTTGGACGACGTGATTCGAGGATGGCGTAATCACGTGACAAGAGGGGGCGTACCGCAGCGTCAGAGTGGAAGCGAAGCGGCAGGCGGCAGCGGAACGTGCACAATACACACAGCGTCAACCGAAATGAGCAGAAAATGAACAATAACTGAAAAAATGCATCTGTTTTACATGCTTTAATTTAAAACATTAATAGATATGAAAGCTTAAGTTCCTAACCCCTAAACATTCCCGCTTTATAACTCTTCAGAAAGACTTCAGAAACTTTATTGCCTTGAGCTATAAAGTTCCTGAAGGTCTTCCAAAGCCCATCTTTGGACTTCAGAAGCTCTTTCACTCGTTTTTAAAGAATCTTTGTTGTTAAAGCACTTTGTAATGACATATTATGCAGTCAAAGATGAAAAAAAGGCATCAACCTATCTCTGCTACTGCATTTGCATTTCAAAAACAGACAACTCAGAACCAATTTTCATAGTATCTTCAGGTGCTTACAGGCTTTTTGCTGTCTTCCAACTTCTTTTAATGCATGCAGAAAAACTCTGGAGTAAACAAAATTTGACACATATAATAAAGTGTAATGTAAATTAGCATATTGCGCAGTGTGATAAAACATAAAAAAGCAGAGAATAAAAGAGAATAAAAGACATGAACTGAATCCATGTCCTGATGAAACAGGAATAGAACTCGAGCAAAGGCCTGGCACAGGATCCAGGATATGCTTCTGGCCATTCTTTTGATCCATACCATTTGCCAAGGCTTAATTTGATATGATCTCCATGGAAGGGTTGATTTATATAAGCCATTCTGAAGCAAGGCAAAAAAAAAAGACTGAGGTATGATGCATGCGCTGAACCGAAAAGCAGTGAGAACACTTAGAATAGAATTTAGAATTCTTTAGCATTACCACAGCAGTGTGGGGTCATCTTGAGAGCAAAGTGAAGGGCAGTCAATATAAAATGAACAGCTTTGGAATGTTTCTCACGAAGCCTTGACAATTCTGTGTGGAAACTACTTAAAGACTAATACTTAATGAAATCGCAAAGGTTTCCAAAGAGGGTTAAGATTGTATTTAAAAATGTAAGGCTGTCATTCCAAATATCGACTGCTAAACTCACTGGGCATATACATTTCTTAGGACTCCTTAACAATGTTTCTGTCCCATATAGAAAACAGCACTGACAAGAAATAACAATATCTGTTTTTTACGCATTTGAAATGCAAGGGGAAAAAAAAATCCCAACCATCTCACTCAAGAAAACAAATATGAGCTGTCCGGATGTGCAGGGAACATTTGATTTACAGTTCATTTTTCTATTTTCTCAGCCTACTGACTGCAGGTCAGTGAGCCCGATTCTGTTTTGCTAATACTTTTTGCTTCAATAGGACACAGTTTAATGACTTCAAACTGGCTTTTTAAAAAATTAACACCTGTCACATAAAAATGACAAATTTCCCTATGTACAATCAAATGCATTACTACAGGAAAAAAAATCAGATAAAAAAAAAAAATTAAACACTTTCACTGAATATCTTTATCAGCATCAGTTAATGAACTACAATTAAAAAAGGTTATAGAGTTATAGAGAGGTCTGGAGTTCATGCAGCAGATGTTTGGTTTTGTGACAGTGACATATTCTTACTGGTGTTTTTATCTAGTCAGAAGCCATTAGACAGTATGGTAAATACACATTTATACCTTCATAACATTCACCAGGACTTACTAGGTACTACAGAGCTTAATAAAAGAAATATCCCTCTGCAATAAATAAGGTTGACAAGGTTAGTTGATGCCCCTAAAAAATTGTGAAGGCTGATTCTGTAAGAACAGGATAACACCAACCTTCCCTCATTAATCAAAGATGATAGATGGGGGTAACTTGACATTTCCTGTGGTTGTAACTGTTTCCTGTGTCTCATTATGGAAAGTACCGTAGTTAGTTCATTAGTGGGCCCAATAACACTTTTCCCGTAATACATAAAGCAATTACAAAAAATTTGTGAGGTGTCTGACGGGTTGAGCTGTGACACGTGCTTAAAATGAACAAAGACTTCACTGATCTAAATGCACACATGAGCAACTGGTGATATGATGCTATAATCATTATTTTACAAAGCAAGTTAAATGATCCTCTGGTTGCTCTGGATCAAAGCCGAGAGTCTAAAGGAGAAAAAAAATACATTTGTATTTATTCTTTCAAGTTTGGTATGTCTGAAATGAGTATCTATCTATTCATCTATCTTGGGGCTTCAGATGTGAAAATAAGAAGCTAAAAGTCCCTTCAACATCTCCTAAACTAAATCACCACAGACACTAAATAGGTGTAATTCCTCTCGATGGTGACATGGTGAAAGCTCCACTGCTTTTATCGAACAGGTGATGACTTATTTTCTCGTTTCTCTCATCCTGCTGGCTGCAGCAGTGATGCAAGGAATGATGATCAGTTGGTTTAGGGTGGAACTGTTTAAAAAAAAAAAAAACTCTTAGCCTTAAAAATGAAAAAAATGGATATGCCCCAGTAAATTTGATGAAAAAAACATCGCTTATAAATTTGAACAATTGTAACTAAAACAGCTAGGGTAGAAAGAAAAGAAATAAATACCGTGGAGAGGCATATTATTCAGTGTCTATCATGTCATTCAAAATCTCTTTATACACACTACTCAAAGACAGGAATTGTCAAGCAAACCTGAATATAGGAGTGAAATAACAGAAGTCCCTTGACAACTAAAGGTCAGTGAAGAGCTGAATTCATTCCAGCCCACACAATCAGAGACATGAAAAGATTAAGTGTAGTGGTGGGAAGAGTTTATGAAATCACAGATGAGCCTATTAGAGGTGTCTGGACAAAAACTGAAAGGGAAAACCTCAGTAACTCTGAAGACAGCCTCAAATTGTCAATTCAAAGCAGTTTTATTTGTATCTGGTATATGTTTAGTAAATGTCTGCTTACCTTGCCTGGCTTCACTGAAAGGTGAGAGGAGTAACAAGAAAAGGCCGATATAAAAGCTTGAGGAGCTTAAGGAGTACATCCAGCAATGAAGAGATTAAGCAGAGACAAAGTCAGCATTCATATGTGAAACATGTTGGTTTTAAAAGAACACGCTGCAGGAGGAGCAGGAGGAGACCATAATAATCTACTCAAAGTACACAGCAATTTACATAACAGCATGTTATCGCTTTTTTTCTATAGCCCAGAAAGAATTGTGCGTTCAAAAATGCAACTTTGAGCCAAGCTGTTGACTGAACATCTGGTCAACTTCATTACTTTTCATTATATTTCAGTAAGAGAGTAACACCAGATGATTTGATACGGTAAAGTGCAAAAATATCAATTAACCTCCAAAATCACTCAAATCCATTCACGTCAATATTAAGTAGAAACTGCTTCAGCATCAGTTATAATGTAAAGCAATATGTCAATGCCTTTGCACCAGCTGACATTGCAATTTCTCCCTCTTTTACTTTGGAAAGTTGCCCGGCTCTGTCATAGTAAAGAGGAAGGGGTGAATACACATCTTTTATGAGGTCTAATTACATAAATGTGCTCCTTTGTCTTTCTAGTGAGCCACTTCCATGTTTATGCATGCAGACATCTGTGAGAACACATACAGATTTCTGTAACATTGATGATGATAATGAATGCTTTCTTTTTACCCCTCACTGTCACATTCCTTTTAACACAGGCTGCACATTGGCTCCGCCCACAATGCACCAGCCAACTTCCTTCTTCTTAATGGAGGTACAAATATTTTGTGCTCTTTATTTTAAAGGCAAAAATGCTCAGTGATCTTCTACCAAACATCTGGGAATTTGGGGATAAGGTGCGAATATGAGGATTAAATAGAGTGTATTGTAGGTGCTTGGATATATTTTGAGGTTTTACCGTTGGATCCAGTGATAAAAGGATAAATGCCAATGCAAAATTAAAGAGTTTTGTTCTGTGCACCTTGATAATGTACTGTCCTGAAGAGCCGAGGCTTAAAAGCTCCCTCTTTAATGAGAGAGATTATTTATATCCCCTTCCACCTTTAGAGAATACTGAATGTTTCAAATGTATCAGTACCGGCACATCTTAAAGAGGGCTGTTCTAAGTCTGTTTTGGGTTTAAAAGGATCCTGAGGTGGACGTTAACACACATAGACGCACACAATTAAAAAAAAAAGGTAAAACAACCCCTGCTATTATGTTAAAGCTCCTGTGAACAAGCAGCTGTGATATATAACTGGATAACTCTAGGATCATGCAGGTTTCTTTATCAATACCACTTAGTTGTACTGGATGGAATGTGAGTCACCACAGTGTGTGCCATGAAGCCAACAGGAGGGGAGGGCAGTGACCAGCACCGGTAAACAAACTGCCTGCTAACACAGGATTGAGAATAGAAACAGTGAAAGGGACAGAGATTTAAACATGGCCAGCAAACATGACCTCTCCCACAATGAAGCGGCAAAAAACAAATCTTATAACTGAAACCAGCCATTACAAATGATAAAATCCTGGTGTTATAGGTCAGACTGTCTATTGAACCCAAGTTAAGCAGATAATAACCGCAGCCAACGCACAGAAGAGCATTTCTTACATCATGATCCTCTTTTTCAAATTTCTCACTGGCTGACACATGTTCATGTTTTCCAGGAATAGAACATAGTCCAGCACATCTTGACATAAAAAGCCCTTTTTTATGTCGTTTACACCTTTGTGCAGATGCTACTTTATTATTGGTTTGGCTGTCTGTAGACAATGCTTGTTGCCATTTTCTCACCAATCGGTCACCAGCTGGTCAATAAAGCTAACTATCTGCTGCCAGATGCAGTTTTGTGATCATTTTGATATTTAAATATATCCAAATAACGCCCCAAGCAAAACCGCTTTGTTTAATTAATTTGCTTCAGCCCAAATAACCTAAGTTATGGCTGGTGCCTGACCAGGAAGGGATGAAACATACATTGGGTTAGCAACTGAGTGTGAAA